CACAGAGACAGTTCGAGCGACCGGGAGAGAGAGAGAGAGAGAGAGAGGGCTTCATGGGGGTTTGGGGGCTTGAGGGTTTGCGCCCAAACAAAGTGTTCAGGGTCGAGCAACATCGCGTGCGTCAGTGCGAGCAGCCCTACTCATTGCCCTAGACCCTCAACCCCCAGAAAAAGAAACATGTCAGCAATTGAGGGTGTCCAAAAGCCCTTTGGGGGCGCACGTGGGCTTTAGGCCCTGCCACCCAAAAACCATACACTCAAAACTGCATACACCTTACCGGTACGTGGGCAATTCTCAAAATTATACGGTCCCTTTATTTGGGGTACCCAAAATACGAGGGGCCACCTCATAAGGTCCCCCAAAAGGGACAACATGTTGGGATGTTCCCCCTTAACAGTCCTGCGATTATAGTACCCTGTATTATCATCCCTACTAAGGACTGTTAGTATACTTGGCTGCACTTAGGAGGGTAGTAAAAAACTAAACTTTTAGCTGCCTTATTAAGAAAATGGATCCTCTGGGAGCTTGGCCCGGCATCGCTGCAGAGCAGCTTCGGCACGCCAATTGCTGAGTGCAGCTTGGGCTGCTGGCGCGCCCTCTGCCTGGCGGGGGTTTAGGGTTTAGGGTTTACGGTTTTGGGGTTTCGGGTTTTGGGTTTAGGGTTTAGGTTTAGGGTTTAGGGTGGGACATCAGCTCAGCTGTTGAACCGAACCCTTAAGGGTCCTGCCAGCACCCTGTGTGAGGCAAAACAACTCCCCAAAGCCACAAAGAAGACACAAACCAAAACATCGCAACAAATTCCGAACTTTGACCCAAACCACCAAAGCCTGAACATCTACGACTCCCACAACACCGAAGTGTTTCCCAAACCTCAAGGAAGCACCGTGTAAGCTGACCCTCTTAGACTCAGGCCCTGGGGTGTTTCGGGCTGCTAATCTCCAGTTCTTTACGCTAATTAAGTGTTTCTGGGTGTTCGACCTCAGGATTTACATATTGTAGGTTGGGCTGCTGAGGGCTTCGCATGAACGATTTCACGCCGACCTGATAGCGTGTGCCGTTCTTTTATATTTAGGATTGCTGGAAGAATGCTGCGACAAGACTACATTGCAGGGGAGAAGCACGTGACTGCAGGCGGAAACTGAATGCGCGACTGGTGCGAGGTTTGGGGGGGTGGAGAGCTTGTAGACTTTTTATTGTTTGCGGAAGCCATACCCCCCAAACAGTTTACAATACCTCATATCGTCAACCCCCATGTCTGGAGCTGATTGAAGACACGGAGCACCGCTTGGGTGCCTTCAGCTTCAGGATGGTCAAACTACATGAGTGTACAGTGGGAAGCGCATGATGTGTTTTCAGGCCGACGGCACGAAGACCTGAAACTGTGTCCTGTCCTCGAAGCCCCCTCAACCTCTTTTGTGCTGAAACGTGCGAGGAGAAAGGCCTGATCACCGGGACCCTCTTTCAACCTGAAACTGAAGCTTTGTCCCTCCACGTGCAACCCTAAAGCCGTGTGAAGAAGACCAGCATACATGTCTTGAGAGGCGAAGGGAATGCTTTCGGGTTTCGGTGGCCCATGAGCCCCTCAGCCCCAAAAACGTGTCGAGTGATGCTGTGCGGGTCTTCTGGAGCAGAGCAATAAGCCTCAACCGCGTTCTCACCTGCAGGCGCCACTCCCTGCCCCCTGAACCCAAAACCCAGCCCTAACCCGAAAGCTGAAGCCCTGAACCCTAGAATGCACCCTTTGCTGCCTCGGATGTCAAAGCCAACCGGGATCCTTCAACCTCCCCTGCAAACCAGTCAACCCTGAGCCTGCCCTCAGCCTCAAGGCTTAGTCACTTAGTCTGGCCGAGATCCTCCAGAGCCCGAGCCCTACTTCGCGACAGGGGGACTTCGCGCTAGGAGTGGAGGGTGGGCTGAGGGTTTAGGGTGCAACCAGTAGCTCCAAGTCGAAAGCTTTGGCAAAAGTCGGCACACGAACCCTAATGACGACGCGCCACCTCTGCTTGCCACGAGGCGAAGCACCTGAGCCACTGTGGCGGATGAGAGATTGCAGGGTCCATGGTTTCGAAGCCCACTTTAAACCGCTGCGCCCTGCCCCAGAATCTACTCAAACCCCCGAGCGTCACCCCTACATCCCGCAACTCTGAACCTTCAACCCCCCCAAATCCTAAAACCTCAGGAATGCAGTATCCAACCTCATGTCGCTGGAAACCCTGAACCGTAACCCCTGGTCGTGTGTGAAAGGTGTGGAACGGTTTGGCGTTCAGCGAGGGCTTCTACCGGATAATAGTCTCAGGGTTGAGCCAGAAGACTCAAGCTACTCTAGCTCAACAGAGACAGTAGTGGCCTGCTCATACTGACCCTATCGATTTCAGTGCCCAGCCTGTCCTTGCATCTCCCAAACTCCCATCTCTCCGCGTCTCGGCTCGATCTGGCCTTTTGCCAATGTTCTGATTTCATGTTGGGCAAGGCCCTCCTCCGGCATGCGTTGGTGCCCTTGCTGTCCGCGTTTCGTTGTAGGCGCAGGTCGCGCTGCTCTACGTAAGAGCAAGCCAAGGACGGTGGGAAACTTCTTGCAAGCTTGAACTTAGTGCAACTTGATCCGCTTGGGCGCATCAGAATCGGAAGTCGTTGCAGAGCCAGATTTCTTGAAAAGCTGCAGGTGGCCATCGCATGCCTTCCAGCTTGATGCCTCATTCGACTTGATAGCTATCTGATCAAGATTTGCCTTCTCTTCGTACTCAGCAGAGCCTAAGCACTTCTGCAGTTTACCAGCGAACTGCCTCTTTCTCAGGCCTATAGCACCTCTGAGGTGCTTTTTGGACACTCTTTGGACATGTCTCACACGTTGAAAAGAGAATTGCAGAGAACTGAACTGCAGCTGCCGTAGAAATTGGTGGGCGTTGAAATTCTGAAAGGCACCCCGCTTCTGATTCCGGCTTCAGCGCCCCGGCAAAACAGCACTAAGAAGCTCAGCAGTTGATGTGGCATGTGCTGCTGCGAGGGGTGTGCTAGCAGCGTGGACCATGCACACGTGGCCGGCAACGCATTCCCTGAGCTAAGCGCATACCCCATCACATCGTTCCCAGAGCCCTCACCCCATACACACGATCAGCTCTAAGTCCCCGAGCCCGACACTTTACGACCCGAAGCCTTAAAGCCTGATGCTGGAACCTCTGAGCCAGGGACAACTTCACCCAAGCCTCCGCGGCGAGCGAGATCAACGTGCTTGGCACCTGCCCACAACAGAAGGGTTTGGAAGTGTTCCGAGTTTCTTTGCCGGGTTGAAGGCCTTACCGGATTTTGCGGCTTCAGGCCTTCAGGAGGTCTTATGGTGTAGAACGGAGAGAGACTGGGGCGATGACGCTTTCCTTCTTGTTGTGGGCCCCGGCCGACACAAACACTTTCCTGAAAGCTGGTACGCAAGGATCTTGACTCTCCCCCTAAACCCTAAACCCTAAACCCTAAACCCTAAACCCTAAACCCTAAACCCTAAACCCTAAACCCTAAACCCTAAACCCTAAAATTCCTACGTCAGGCTTCGCGTGTTCGCTTTGAGGCCTGAGGATGGACTTGTAAGGCTTTAGACTGTGGATTCAAGTCTCAGGCTGCTGGGGACTGCCTCAAGGTCCCAAAAAAACCTTCAACCCCTACTGTTTGCTTAAGAACCCCAGAAGAGTGAGAAATGAAAAAACCCCTATATTACCCTCAATTAGGCGTCATACTTTGTATTCTTTCCGGGGTTCTTAAGCACGTAGTAGACCCTGAATCCGAAGCCCTCTCCGGAATACCTTCAACCTCAAAAGCCCCTCAGCGGCTCGAAAGGCCTGCCGAGCACAAGACAACTTTATGTCGGAAGTTTGGTACTCCTGATAAGGCTTCTCTGGTGCCGGATATTAGGCACCGGATGCCCCTGGAACTTCTTTTTTGGCTCAGGCTGCCCACGGAAAGTACACCCATCAGTCGTGCAGATGCTTTGGGGCACGTCGGGTTTTGCAGGTGTTTAAACCGTAGTGACTTCAGAGAGCATCAAGTTGAAACTCCCCATGCCCGTGGCGCTGCGCGCATAGGGCCAGGAGACGCGGCTAGACGGGACAGGCGGGCGGTGCTAGGAAAGCAGCACAGCTCCGTCTATCCAAAGGGCCGCGGTCATCACGCTTTCGAAAGCCTATGGGTCGTGAGAAGTCGGGAAGCAAGTCCCTAAACCCTAAACCCTAAACCCTAAACCCTAAGCCCTAAGCCCTAAACCCTAAACCCTAAGCCCTAAATGGAGCCCATGAACCTTCAAGCTGCCGTTTCTGACTGGCCGTGAGGGTGGCCGAGGCTAGTTCACCTCTTCCTCCCCCCGCTGTCATCGCACATCAACTTTGTGATGTGGGTGACTCTAAACCCTAAACCCTAAACCCTAAACCCTAAACCCTAAACCCTAAACCCTAAACCCTAAACCCTAAACCGGGTGACTCTGGTGTTTCCTCACCCAGGCGCGGACACGCCTGCCTTGCCATGTCAGGTTGCTGCCAAATCGTGTACACGGACGCTTGCTGAAGGCATGTTGGCCTTAAAGCAGCGCCACCTGTATCATTATCAAACAAATCACTGCGCCAGACGAAGCAGATCATTTTTCACTGAGGATGGACAGGAGGCGCATGTTAGCTCTTTGCAAGAACGGACAGCCGGCCGCGGACATGAGCATGACTTAAACATTGCGGAAATGATAGAGTGAATGTTATGCCCAAGGGCAGCAAGCTAAGAAGGTTACTGCACAAGTACTTACATTTTGTCCATCCCATAAGTTTAAACACGACCCTAACCCAAGCGACATTACACAACTCAAAACAATAGCAGGCCTTTAAAGTGCTTCGGGAAGCCGTCGAAAGCTTCGTCTTAATTTAGGGTTTTTTAACGTTAAAAACAAACCCTTTCACTTTATAAAAAAAGCCCTAAAGGTTTCGGGAAGCCGTCGAAAGCTTCGTCTTTTGCAGGAAAGTGCCCCTGGGAATCTACAGCTCGAGAGTTCGGATCTCACGGCGCGTACCGACTTTGCAGTTCTTCTGGTGCATGTTCACGATGTCCACCTGAGCGTGAAATGGGGGGGGTGAAATGGGACCTATAGGTTAGGGTTTAGGGTTTAGGGTTTAGGGTTTAGGGTTTAGGGTTTCGGGTTTCGGGTTTTTTGGATTTAGGGTCCATAGGAGATTGGGTGTGCTTAAGGTTCACAGCTCTTTGAAGGTCCACACTGCAGGCAGGCGTCTTCGTAATGCTGGCCCCTGGCGTGGGAACTCGTGTGCTGGCGCTTTGGGGCTTCGGGCGCAGTGTGCAGTACAGGCTTCTGCTATCTGGCACTGCGAGCTTCAGCGTGACAGTCTCGAGGATTTCAGGCTGTTCAGGGTCTCAGGGTTTATCCAAGGGTTTCTTGTTTCCCCTCGCCAGTGTCTATTTCTCAAAACTCCAAACACCAATAGACCCCCCAAAGTTCTGGTTTAGGGATAGGGTTTAGGGTTTAGGGTTTAGGGTTTAGGGTTTAAGGTTTAGGGTTTAGGGTTTAGGGGCCAAAAACGCCTGATCGTGCATTTGACCACGGAGATGCCGGCTGCTCTCGCTTCCTGGCTGGGTTGCTTTGAGGATGTAGGCTTAGGGGTTAGGGTTGGTTTAGGGTTTAGGGTTTAGGGTTTAGGGTTTAGGGTTTAGGGTTTAGGGTTTAGGGTTTAGGGTTTAGGGTTTAGGGTTTAGGGTTTAGGGTTTAGGGTTTAGGGTTTAGGGTTTAGGGTTTAGGGTTAGGCTTTAGGCTTTAGGCTGTAGGGCTTAGGGTTTAGGGGTTTAGGGCTTGGGGTTCGATGAGGCCCAAGTGTCTCCCAGCGGCGCGACTTGCGCTCTAACCTTCATGCTGCTGCATTCTGACCCCATGTCTTGACTGCCCATGACTAGAGTACCCCGACTAGCTCCCAAGACCCATGTCCGAATTCTACGACCCCCGAAGCTGGCCCAAAGCCCCTAAACCTCCAAATCCCAAGCCTGAGCTGTACTTCTTCATGTCTTCTCATGGGAAGTTGTAAAAAAAGAGTAGGGTCCAGGTACGGAACCTCGATGGGGTTAGTTGTAGCAAAAGCTATCCGGCGCATGTCCGAAAACCGCGCCCATGAACCCTATAAACCCTAAACCCTAAGCCCTAAACCCTAAACCCTAAACCCTAAACCCTAAACCCTAAACCCATGAACCTCCGAGCACAGCTTCCATCTCTCACCACTGAGCTCATGCCTTAGGGGTAGTGTCACGGTCCCATTGTCCTTGCCCTGAAAAGGGTTTAGGGTTTAGGGTTTAGGGTTTAGGGTTTAGTGTAAAAGGGTACCCCTTACACACCCCTTGGATACCGTGTTCAAACTAAGGGCCCATACATCAGAGCCCTGAAAGGAAGGCAAGGGACCAGGTTAAGGGCCCATTTAGTTTCCCGAAGATCATATGGTCAGTTCTAGGATCGGGCCCGCCTGATATCAAGGAACCCTAAACCCTAAACCCTAAACCCTAAACCCTAAACCCTTATTTTGGAGAACTGACCCTATGGCTCAAGGGCAACCCGGCCTTCAACTTGGTGTCCACATCCTCAGGGAAGTCCCACCAGCCACCTGCCAGAGCTGAGGGTGGAAAACTTCGGGGTTTTTAGGGTTTAGGGTTGAGGGTTTCGGGTTTAGGGGGTTGAGGCCTCTGGGCTGAACAAGGTCTTGGGTGCCCCTGAGTCCCGACTCCAAATCAAGGTACTGACATGAAGATGTTCAGGGCACTCAGTGCCATGGAAGCCCCAGAAATCTTCCCCAGCGTCTCCGACGGGAGAACTGTTGGTTGAAAGCTTTTGTCTACTGAAAGCCCGACTTGAGAGTTCACGCCCGCAATCCGATCACCTTTCAGGAAAAAGGAATCAGGACTACAGCACAGCGACCAAACCCACCCCGAAACCTCAGCAAGATCTCCAAAGACCAAGGCTCTACTCGGCCCGAAGGGCAGGAAAACAAGCCCCAAACCCCAAAGACTTGGTAAGCCTCAACCCTAAACCCTAAACCCTAACCCTAAGCCCTAAACCCTACAACCCTAAAGGTTGCGGGTTAAAGGCCATCGGCCCCCTTCCCCTCGGGCCTTTGCCGTTGGAGACCTGCCACTTGTAGGGCTTCTCGGCTTCCACCTGCTGCTCACAAACCGACAAGTGTAGGATGAAACGGAGGAACCTTCACCCTAAACCCTAAACCCTATGAACCCTAAACCCTCCTAAGCCCTAAAAGGCTATACCGCTTAACCTCTCAACGGCCCCCGAGCCCCGGAACTCCTGAGCCCTTCAGCCCTCAGCTCCTAAGCTGCCCAGGGCCGACACGCAGGGAGGCTCTTCAGGGTTTAGGGCCTAGGGTTTAGGGTTTAGGGTTAAGGGTTTAGGGTTCAGGGTTTAGGGTTCAGGGTTTAGGGTTTAGGAGGGGCAAGGGTCACATCATCTTCGTGGAACTCCAGAACTTGAGATGTGCAAGCAGCCAAGCCTCAATGCCCAAACCCTGAAGGCCCCCAAGACCAAGTCCGCCGAACCCGCCCGCCTCCTCCTCACCCCCAGCATCCCCGGCCAGGGCACCAATCGAGACCTCCACCTCCCAGTCTTTAGGGGGGTTTAGGGTTTAGGGTTTAGGGTTGGGGGCAGTCGCAGTGGGACCGAGATTTGAGGAGTTTTGTAAGAATCTCGTCTTCGGGACACAAATCTCGCAAAAGGGGACCTGCTGGAACTCCAACCGGGATTCAAGGCCTACAAGGCCTACAAGCCCTACATCTCAAGATCAAGATGTGAGTCCCGAAATTATTGCCAGGGGCCGTCGGCTGGGGCTTCGCTAGGGTGCAGGTTTCACGCTTTCAAAAAAGGACAGTGTTGGCAGTATTGCAGTATTGGCTTTAAAAAAGCGCTTCTGTGCTTTAGGAACAGCTTTAGAGCCCCCTAAACCCTAAACCCTAAACCCTAAACCCTAAACCTCTCGCCGCTGAGAACCCTGAAGTGTGCCTCCTGGATGGTCCGGCTCGTGCCGGTCTTGAGGTTCTTCTGGGTCATCTCCTCAGCTCTTTAAAAGGAGAGGGGTTTGGGGTTTAGGGTTTAGGGTTTAGGGTTTCGGGTTTAGGGTTTAGGGGTCCAGGCGGCAGAGAGAAGCCTCTGGGGCGCAAAGGCGTAAGCAGCGTAAGCCATGTATAGACCTAAAGCCTTAAGCCCTCAATCCCAAACCTACCGAGTGAAGGAGGCCTACTCTTCTGGGACTTCAAGCATCCTCTGTCCATCCTTGCTTTTCGCGCCATATTTCGGGTCCAAAACGGCTTAGGGGTTAGGGTTTAGGGTTTAGGGTTTAGGGTTTAGGGTTTTAGAAATGCCGGAGCTTCTTTCAGGTCGATCTCGTAGGGGAAGCCGCGGGCACGGAAGTGCACCACTTTCTCGCCTGGCCCAACCACGGAGAGCTTGTCCGGGAGGGAGAAACCAGGCTCTGCAACCTAAACAAACCCTGGGTCCTCTAGCAACCTTGCAACGCACCCCCCCGAAACCCTCAACATCCCTCAGCCGCAACAAAAGCCCTGCCGCGCCTTTTTCAGTGGCTTTGCGCAAGGCCAGCTGCTGCTCCGCTGCCAAGTCGGACCACTCTCCTATGTTTCAGAAGCTTTGCAGCTTCGGGGGCTTGATACAGGGGCCTGAAAAATTTAGAATAGGGTTTGGGGGGGTTATCGTAGTATAGCTATAAAGGGACCATAAGGGAATACCATTTGTAATTATTCCGACCCCTGTAGTAGGGCTCTGGGCGCCCGGGTTGTGAAGAACTTCCAAGTCAGATGTTAGTGCAGAAGTCCGTCTGCACATGATTGCGCATTGCGCACGTGTACGAGAACTTTCCTGGGGAACTTGTTAAGCGAAGACTAGGTCTGCTTGGCCAGGCTGCGATGCACAATCCCTGTAACACGATGATCCCCAAGCGGCTGATTTCGGGTTTAGGGGTCCATGCTTGGTTGAGGTGTTAAGAGCCAAGGAAGATTAAGCGCTGATAGAGATTGCGCCGCAGTTTTTTGCAAGCTTGAGGCTGTTGGGCGTGGGGTTTGGGGTTTGAGGCTGTCAAGATGCAAGTTATGACGAGTTGGGGTGTCCCTGTCCCTAATCCCAAGCCAAGTTAGCATGCGTGCAACGTCTGTCATGCACAGTCTACCGCACACGGCCACCTTGTACCTTATGCCAAACCAGGTCTCTGTCGAAATGATACTTTGAAAGTTCAGTCTATAGGCTCATGCAAGTCTTCGGACATATCCTATCCCAGTAGAACCCAAAGCCTGACACCCTACACTCCGAAGCCCGGAGAACGGCTTGCAGCTGCGATTCCGCCATCGCCTGACTTCCCCATCACGGCAGTCAACCAACGATTTGCAAGGGGCGTAGCAGTTTGGAGGTTTAGGATACAAGGTCTTAAGAACCAACAAATAAAACCGAACGTCTGTTGCATTTGGAGAAGCTGCTGAGCTGGACCTGCCACTTTGTCAGCTTCAAGGACAGCGCCTGCAACCTCGCAAGCGGTGCGCTGCACGTGTTGCAGCTTGGTGCTTCAGGATTTTACGGCTGTAGGGCTCACGTTGAAGGTTCAGGGATTTTCTTTGGGTGAAGCGGTCGCAAACAGCATGTGATCTTGCTCCTTTTATAAAACTTGGCTGCTGTCTTTACTCTTTTCTGCGCCAAGTAGATACCTGAAGGCCAAGCGCCACTTTTAAAGAATGCTCATCCTGGCCAGGGCAAAGCAGTGAACAGGCTGGCTACTGCTGCTGCTGCTGCTGCTGCTGCTGCTGCTGCTGCTGCTGCTGCTGCTGCTGCTGCTGCTGCTTGCCTTTACTCACTGCTGAATCGTTCAAGTTCCAACTGTCATGAAACCTGAAATCACGGCTTATGTTGCAACCCAGGTGCACGTAACAAAGTGCAGCGATGATCTGGGGATGATCTTGCTTGTTGTCCCACACGTGTCTGGCGGCTTCCTGTTGCAAGCTGTGTTGAGCATGGCTTTAGTTGAAAGCCCTGAGAGCTTACCTAACTCTTTCCACAACACCCTTGCAGCTGAACTCCCCCAACCCTGGCTAGACAAGCCCAACAAGGCTTCGGGGGTCAGGGCTTAAGGGCCAAAAGGTTTGAGGTTGAGGTGCCTTTGAGGCCCACGGTTGAAGGCGTTGCTTAGGTAGCAGCTTAGTCGGGTTCAAAACTCCCTGATTTACCCTAAACCCTAAACCCTAAACCCTAAACCCTAAACCCTACAGGGCTGTCCTAAAGCTGCGGGCATTCAAGCCCCCAAGATCTCAACACCTGGAACACCTGGAACCGAAAACCGAGCCCTCGACTACCAGAGCGAAATCTCCAGCAGCAAAACCCCAAGTCATGTCCACAGGTCCTGGAAGTCAGCCCCGCCCAGTTTGGGCAGTGTGGCCGACCGCGCATCCTTGACCTCGCAGCATGGGGGGCTGCGGCCGCGCAAGCCCTCAACACCGAGCAACGAAGACCCTAAACCCTAAACCCTCAACCCTAAACCCAAAAACCCTGAAAAGGGTCCAGCGCTGCATGTGGCAGAAGCGGAACGTGAGCTTTGCTGCTCAGGAGCAACCCTCAGATCTAGGTATGGATACATGGCTTCGTGTTCACCCTAAACCCTAAACCCTAAACCCTAAACCCTAAACCCTAAACCCTAAACCCTAAACCCTAAACCCTGGGCCAAAAAAAAGCTCCATGCGATGTTCGGGGTTCCTTATTGGCGCCCTTCTTAGAAGGCGGCTCCTACGATTTGGGTGCCTACATTAAAGCTCCCTCTTTTTTCGTGAACCCTGCAACACCCTGAAACTGTCATCCGTGATGGGCCGTGGAGCTAGGCTGGCCAACAAGAAGACTCCTGAGCTGGCGAAAGCCCATGCACGGTTTAGGGTTTAGGGTTTAGGGTTTAGGGTTTAGGGTTTAGGGTTTAGGGTTTCGGTCAGTCTCGGGATCAACACTTCGAGGGCGCTTCAAGACCTTCGAAGCCGACCTTGCAAAAAAAAAGCCCAAAGCCAAGAAACCCAAGAGCAGCCCAGCTAGGTCCATGGAGTGTATTCTGGCTCAGAAAAGATTCAGTCAACCGTCACATGACATGAGTTGTGTGTCAAGTTCTTCGTGTGGGAAGGTCCAGTAGTTTTTGGCACAGCACAGCACGGCACCGCAGAGCAGAGCAGATCACAGCAGCAAGCATGGTTTGACGCATGGATGCTCATGCAGAATCTGAGGTTTGACTTGCTTTCAACAGATTCAGAGCCATTGAGCAAAGCTCTCAGTTCAGAGCCGTTTCGCAAAAGCCCTCAGAACTACAGCTTCAAGTAGGGTCCGTCATTTACAGTACGAGCAAGGCGGTGGACATGGACTCTCTTTACTCAAAGTAGGGCATCCAGGGCTTCCTACCCTGACGTAACCATTGTTGTGCTTCCTACTGCGGTCATCCACCGAGATCTTTGCGACATGTTTGCCTGGCAGGAAAACCTTGAGGTTCCCTTGAATCCCCACCCTTTGGTACAGCTCAGGTTTAGGGCTTAGGGTTTAGGGTTTAGGGTTTAGGGGCACAGCTCTGGGGTGGCAGGGTCGAGGTGTGGGATCATCAGGGTGCTGGCTGTCAGGGTACAGGTTGTCAGCCAGCAGGGCGTGCGAACCTGAACGTTCGTACCCGTTCCCCTGCCCCAAGTTCGCACCACGGCCAAAAATCGCACGGGTTCGACTACCTGACCTAGGTTTTTCAGCTCGCATCACCAATAGTTTATTGGACCATAGCCTAGCAAAGGAAACTGTGAAGGAGCAGTACTTCACAAATTCCTCCTGGTTCTCTAAGATTCTTCCATGCTCATTACCCGCTATGCCGCATGGGCACCAGGCGCATTGAAGTGACCCAACACCGGTCCCTAAGCAACAAAAGTCCTAAAACCTAAACCTAAACCTAAACCCTAAACCCTAAAACCTAAAACCCTAAACTCTTTGTGTGCTTGGACCGCTCGATCAAAAGACAAGCATCCGAGCTCCAGCATGGCGTGGATGGGATCCTCATCCCCAGCCGCTGCGGCAGCCTTTTAGGGTTTAGAGTTTAGGGTTTAGGGTTCAGGGTTTAGGTTTTAGGTTTTAGGGTTTAGGGGCTGTTTTGATGAACCCATGAACCCGGATATTAAAACCCTGAACCCTGAACCCCTTTGAGCCCGTTGAACATGGCGATCTGGGCCACTTTTGAGTGCAGAGCGGGGGGGTTATGTTGTACTTGTTGCTACTAATTGCTTAAGACCCCGAAAAAATGCAAAATATTCGCCTTTTTAAGGGTAATCTAGGAATTACTAATTTTTATTCTTTTGGGGTTCTTAAGCCAATAGTAGGTTGGGAGCACGCTTTAGGCATTTGGGCTCGGAGTCATGGCTGATCAAGGGAATCAAGGGCCTGTTGAAACTTGATGCCGATGTGAGTATCCTGGATGCCTCATGGATGCCTCATGCTACGTTACGACACAGACAAACATGCAGGTCAGGCATCTGTGTATGGTGCGAGTGCGAAGATGCAACTCAAGTGGATAAACAAACCGCTCGTTCAGGGGTGGCAAACTTGGCTTGCGACAAGCCTTCTGTTTCGAACCTACGCTAAGCTCCGAATTCCTTCAAGACTCAAGCCCTCATCCGAAGCCCAATCCTACAGTCTCGACAGAGCCCTGAACCTATACCCACCACCGTAAACCTTGAACCCTAAACGTAAGTTTCGGGCCCAAAGGCTCCTGGCCTTAAAGACCTAGGGTTTAGGGTTTAGGATTCTGCCTAGGACAGGTTTCCTTTTCGGGGAACATGGCGGCACACACAACTCCGAACAGTCCTTCTCCACAAACTATAGCCTGGCTTGGTCCCAAGGGGCTTGGAGTTCGCCAACTCCGAAAAAAAACCACCCTGCTTCCTGAACCCTAAACACCCCCTAGGGTCCCCAGATGTCACTGCGCCCCTGAACCCTAAACACCCCCCCAGGTCCCGAGGTGTCAATGAGCAGCCGGGCCTTTGTCTTCTTCATCTGCGTCACCTCCCCGAGGATGGCAGTTGCCATCTCAACGGCCCCAGCGGCGGCAGCCTCTCCACAAAAGAGGGAGGGAGGAGTTGGGGCTTGAAGGGTTAGGGTTTGGAGTTCTATCGGAGCCCTATAGGGGCTTGAAGGCCACTAGGGCTTAAATGGCGGGTGTCGGTTTGTAGGGTTTGGGGGGGCTGAGAAACCCTAAACCTTAAACTCTAAACCCTCAACCCTAAACCCAAACCCTAATCCCCCACGGGCGTTTAGCTTCTTGTGTTAAGGAAGGCCGCGGGGTCGAGTGCCTTCGGTTGCGGCTGTCTGAAACTCTGCCCTCCCGAATCTGACATACCTTGAAACCTCAATGTTGGGATGTTCCCCCTTATAGTAACAGTCCTTAATCGGGATTATAATAAAGGGGTACTATAATCCCCATGAAGGACGGCTAGTATAAGCGTGAATGTCCCAACCTCACTGGTCAGACGCACTTGCCAAAGCCTAAGCCTCCAACCCCAGACCACTTGATGCCTGCAGTGACTCCTGTAACATGCTGCCCAAACCCGAACCTACACAGGCCGCAAAGCCCAAACGACCAGAAGCGAGCACCGCCAGAAGCCTGAAACCCTGACCGCAAAACGGAGTAACAGCTGCTCGCCCCTAAACCCTAAACCCTAAACCCTAAACCCTAAATCCTAAACCCTAAACCCTGAACTCTGAACCCTGAACCCTGTACCCTGAACCTGAAGCTCTACTTGCCATCATCCCAAACTCCTACCAACCCAACCCAACGGAACCCTAAACCTCAGGATAATAAGCCTCAGGAGCCCCCCCAACCCTGAACCTTTAACCTCAATGAGCCCCCGAAGCCCTAAGCCCGAAAAACATGGGAGGCTAAACCCTTGAATCCTGCCAGGGTTTAGGGTTTAATTAGGGTTTAGGGTTTAGGGTTTAGGGTTTAGGGTTTAGGGTTTAGGGCCCCTGAAAACAGGAGAGGTTGATCTCCTGTGGCGCCTCCGCGGGGCTTGCCCGGAGGCCGCGCGCCAGGGCCAGACGCCGGAGTCGGTGGCTCTGTGTGTCCATGGCCTTAGCTTTGAGCTTCGGGTTTAGGGTTTAGGGTTTAGGGTTTAGGGCTACTAGACCCAAGAGTAACCCGGGAATAAAAGGGTACCTTTTTTGGTTTTGAGTTTAAGGGAACCTAAAGCCCGCCCAAAAAGGGAATAAGGGCCTACCCGGGCCCTAGTTGTTGCTTTTTGGTTTTTTGGGGTCCAGTGAGTTCGGGCTCGGCTGTTTTTGATACACTCGATAAATATGCTCCGGTAAGTGCATGAAAAGGAAGACGTCCTGACAGATCCCTAGGCTACATCCCACATCATCTACCATAAAATGTTTGGGTTCACAACTGCATGGCGTACGTTGTCCTAACGGATGTGTCTGTCAAGCTTCGTAATCGATGACCTTGCGCAGGTCGTCCTCTTGCAGGAATCACTACGCCTTCAAAAACGACACCTTTATAACCCTGCAAGCCGAACTCCAAACAGAGAAATGAGCCAAACACCACCAGCAAAACCATATCCAAACTCCCAACGATTGCGAGGATGACCGGGTGGGGGGGGGGGTTCCGGATCTGGGGTTTTGGGCTCAGGTGCTCTGTAGCTTTTCGGGTATCGGGGTAGACTTCGGGCTCCAGTCAAGGCATCAGATCAGATGGCATACGTACGTTACGTTCCTTTGCTCTGGCACAGGGACCCCCTGCTCAACAAGAAACAGTACTAAAGGAACCAGAATAGTTAGAATAGTTTTTTCTTTTTTTTTTTGGGGGGGGGGGGGGGGGGGGGAGGGTGGGGATATTGTAGTATAAATTGTATAAACAAAGTTGGACCATAAGGGAATACTACTAGCAACTATTCCGACCCCTATATTAAACTATGACCCACGGTTCTTGTGGCAGTTGCTGGGCGGGAGCCGTGCAAAATTTCACCTTGGAACAACCCCAAAGAAACACAGGGTGTAGAGTTTGGTGAGTTTTGTGTCTTTGAACTCTGAAAGCAGTATCCAACACTAGCCAGAATCGGGTCCTGGCCCGACGATAGCGCCACCAGCTCGGACCACTTCTCCGGGAACTCCTTCCAAGCCGCCAGCGCCTTGGCGAGGTACCTCAGAAGCTCAGGTTTCGGGTAACCATTGAGGGTTGTGTGGTTTCGGGCTGAGGTATTCAAGGGCCTGAAGTTCCGAAGGGTGGCCGGCACGACGACCCCTTTCGCGGTAAGCATACGCGGTAAGCATAGGCTGACTAAGCCTCAAGGAAGCCGCAATGAAATCCTGAAGAGTGCTTTTCATGCGTGCAACAATATGCCGTAGATACACCTTGAAACTCAAACCATCCAATGTTCTTTTGTAGTGCTCCCTACTAGAAACCCCACAAGCTCATACTTGGAGTTCATGGTACTTATTAACCAAAGTGGGTAAGTACACTTATAGTCGGTTAATAAGTACCATGAACCTCCAAGTGGCAGCCCTAAACCCTAAACCCTAAACCCTAAACCCTAAACCCCTAAGCTTATACTTGCTCATGATGCCCGGCCGCTTCTCCGCGGTCGCGAGGCAGTCTGGTAAAGGCTCGCTGCCCCCCTCTTCGGCGGCCACGTACATCTCCTGCAGCGCGTGATTGTTTAGGGTTTAGGGTTTAGGGTTTAGGGTTTAGGAAAGCCAGTAATTAGACTATAACTATGGGCTACCGATTCCTATTTTGGGGGCACAGTCGCCCCTGATTTTGGGCAACTCGGCGCCTAAGGTAGGCCCTGAGACTACAACTGCGCACTCTAAACACTGTGCACAGGCCTGGACCTGTCCCCAAGAACAAGACATTGCCGACACGTGCCTACTATTTAGCAAGGCTGTGCAGATGATGCGCTCGAAATGATCAACCCATGTCCTGCACTCACACACCTCCGCCCCTACCAGCCCTACCGCCGCCCCCCTCACCCCCAGCCGGTGTCAACAGCTTTGTCCCAGAAAGACTCATACTTGGAAGCCCAGTAACCACATGATAATGAGGGCTTTTGGGGTTGGGTACTTTACAACGGAACCTGGAACCAACAAAAAGGGCAAAGGGGTACCACTGGGCTACCAGAAGGGCATACCGCAAGGGCCTTCACAATTAGAATAGGGTTTTGGGAGGTTCTCATACTATGCGAATATAGGGGCCAAAAGGGCATACTATTAGTACGTCTTCCGACCCCTGCACTATCTGGCTGGTTCTTGGTAGGGAATGAGGGAATGAGTAGCCTACATCATCCCTTAAAGGGTATAAATAGGGCCCTAATTCCCTCATTCCCTACTAACCCTAAACCCTAAACCCCAAACCCTAAGCCCTAAGCCCTGAACCCTGAACCCTAAGCCCTAAACCCTAAGCCCTAAACCCTAAACCCTAAACCCTAAACCCTAAACCCTAAACCCTAAACCCTAAACCCTAAACCATGGCACGGCTGTGGGCTGAGCTCCTCGAGCTCGGAGTGGAGCACTGCGTCGTCGAGGAGGTCGGCCAACACTGTGAGCTGGAAGGCGTTGATGTCCTTTGGGGGGCAGGGTTTAGGGTTTAGGGTTTAGGGTTAAGGGTTAAGGGTTAAGGGTTAAGGGTTTAGGGTTTAGGGTTTAGGGTTTGGGGTTTAGGGCTTGGGGTTTGGGGTTCTGGGGGGGATACACACACACATACTCGAAGCCCAATGCGAACGTATCCTCCATCCTACCCGAGACCCAAGGCCATTGAAAGCCCAAGGCGCTGAAAACTAAGCCTGAAATCCTCGACCCTAAACATGGTAGCAGCCTCGCTGCACACGCGAGAGAGAGAGAGAGAGAGAGAGAGAGAGAGAGAGCGACTTCGGAATGAAGGGATGAAACCTAGCCGCTAGCCCCTGCACCCTACATTAAGGTTGCAAAACGCATAGGCAAAAAGTGACCTTTTCACTCAAAACAAAACTTTGATAACTTTGATTTGCCACGAGCCTTCAACTAGTCCTCAAGCCTGTGTGATCCCCCTTACTTCTCATGAACCTGGGTCTGACATGTCGAACTCTCGAACTTCTTGGAAGGTCAGCTTCGAAATTAAAGCCCTCAACCCGGCGCCGTGTACACTTACCAGACACAAACTTAGCTGCACTGGTTTCTTCAAGGCGCATGACTGGAGTCGCAGCCTCTGCCGACTTCTACCACCTGGCCATGCTCCGCAGGTGTGGCAGGGGATCTCTCGGGGTTCAGGGCTTAACATGGTTTGGGGGCTCCTGAGGTCAGGGGTTTGGGGTTTAGGGTTTGCAGTTTAGGGTGCATGCCCCTGTCTCAGGAGGGTTTTGTCTTAAGCAGCAGTGATCTGGAAGCCATGAAGAGTTATGCTGTGCGCTTGTGCTCTTCGACACCCTTAAGAAAGAAGAGGGAGCCGAACCATATACACCAAGCACCCTCATGAGGCCGGATTGACGAAAAGGCCCCAAACATCCACCATCGCTTGCACCAAAGCGCTTGAGGTAGAGAACACAGAAGAAAAGGATCTCCACATGAAGCTTCTGGTGGAGAAAGAAAAGCGGGGTTGCGATTCGTAGGGGTTCGGGCGCAGATATGCATATGGCGCTTGATCTAAGTTGCGATGTCCGGAAATGCATCTTCACTAACAAAAATGTGTTTCGCGGAATTGTGTGGGGGGCCTCTATGGTCCTGGAGTTTACTTCGTTGCTACGAATGTGAGAACTCAGTTTAGGGTTGGGCGTTGAGGAATACTTGCGTCCTACCAAGAACAAGTCTATAAGCTGGCTGTGGTTTGAGTTCTAAAAACCCAGCCAAGCGTTGACTGTCGTCAAAACTTTTGGCACGCCTGTTCGCGAAAGACGCTCACATGCCATGAATGTGCATTTCTCGAACGGCGCCTTCTACAAAGGACATCCAAAAGGGACCCTAATTTAGAGAACTACCCACATGGCATCTGCGAAAGTTTCTTGTGAGACCCGAAATGCTCTGAAAAGGGCCTCTAGCATGGACGAGCGTGCGTCCGGCATCTCCGCTGCGGCAACGCCTTCCGCCAAGGGATTGAGACTCGCACCCCTAAAGGTTGTACCCCTACAAAGGTTTCCCTTAAACTGGTCCTAATACGACCCTTGGCTTACCTTGGGAATTTTTTTAAAAGGGGTCCCCAAACCCAAGGGTACAACCTTAGGAGCCCAAGGGAAAATCCCATGATTCCATCTGCTGCAGTCCGGGCCTCGGGTCTACCCGAGAGTTTAGGGCCACTAGTAAGGGGTTTAAGGGTGAAGATACTGCTGAAAGCATTCCAGGGATCACGGGGCTTCTAGAAAGCAGGACGAGGTGCTTCTAGAAAGCAGGACAATGATGTGGGTAGAGTGTCTGAGGGCAGGGAGAATCGAACTTGTCTTCGAGCATTCATTGATGAGCCCCTCGAAGATGCTCAGGATTTCACCTGGGTTTCCTTGGGACGTCCTGTCAGATGTGAAGATGATCGAAGTTACCCATGAGGGCTAAACCTTGTGCCGGCAATCTGAAATCTTAAACCTTGGAACCGTATCAATCTTATCAGCATGCATCCCCGACCGACATCTGAAACTCTGGTTTCACATCCAAAGATTAACAACCGCCACAGCAGCCCTGCACCGCGTTTGCTCCAGAATCTGCGTGTCCCGCCTGCTAGCAAAAGGAGCTTTGCGATGAAGGCGTCCTGTGCGCGCGTGCAGCTCTTCAGTTTAGAGTCTGCTTTTTTGGTGCTCAGGAGCTAGAACAGGTTTTCTGCCCTGCAGAAGAATCGAGACGAAGGCTCATTGCGGTTGTTGGGGTCAGGTACCTCAACATGAAGGCTGGACCGACATGCCGCGACTGAGAACCTGCAGCACATCGCGTCCGGGTGCAAAAGTTCTGGGTTTGCGGCCCGAAGGTATCTAAAGGGATTCTGGCCATTGGATTCACAACTTAACTTGCAGGACCCAAAGCCTCAAGCCTGTAAACTCCGAAAACTTGAGCCATCCGCCCCCAAAACCCTTAGCCCTCTAAGCCCCTGCACCCCCAAATGCCACATCACGTAAAAT